AGACTTGCAATGATCCTCCTGTTTTCAGCCTCCCAAGCACTGGAATTACAGGCACACGCCACCATGCCCAGTCTCAGCTGCCGTTTTAACGTGTCCCGGGGGCAGGGCCAGCACAACATATGGGGTAGGGGGATCGAACCCTGGTCACTGCGCCCACCTAAGCAGGCACTTTAGTCCCCTGAGTTATCTGGCTGGCCCTTCAATGTGAACTTTTGGATTTGAATATATTTCATTTAATTTAATTCACTGTACTTGTTGGTCCTTTTTATATTCAAACTCTGTCATCTTTATATTCTCAGTCATGTCTGACAGCTTCTTAATTCTTAGTATAAACAATGCTAGTAAGTCTGGTTATTTTCAGTGTTGCCTCTGTACTAGGGATATCATAGTCACTTAAAAAGCTGTTTAAAATGCAAATTCATAGAAATTATCCTGATATACTGAAGAAGCCTTAAGGACAGGATACAGCAGTCTATATTTTGAAAAGCCTGCTAGGTTATTTCAATGTACACTACAACCAATCTAGATTTACACTGTACACTGAGATCAGATCCTGAGTACCCTGATTATAGTCCAAGGCTCTTCTCACTATCTCTGAATTTCACCCCTGTGTGACTTGCATATGATATACCCTCTCATCAGCTATCATTTTTCATAACTTTGATATTTACCAAGACATACCTTGGAAAGGTCAGGCATCCTATATGTTAGTTTTATCTGTATGCAAAATAATACATCTTACTTATCTCTCAACTTATGCGATTAGTAAATAAAAGATTACATATGAAAGGACTTGGGGTATTACAACAACTAACATAGGCTTAGACGAATACCTTTCATTTACAAAGAGAAATGATTCAGTTAAGGAGCCAACTAAAAAACATATTTGCTTTATTATAAAACAAGATTATGAGGCCAGAGAGTTAGCTCCGTAGAATAAGTGCTTGCCTGGAAGCACAAGGGCCTGAGTTCAATCCCCGGTTCCACAAAAAAAAAACCACCAAGATTCTTTGCTAGCTTTTAAAAAACATGCTTGGGCCAGCCAAACAGTTCAGTGGATTAAAGCGCCTGCTTAGGCAGATGAAGGGGCCAGGAGTTCAATCCCCAAGCCTGCCCTGTGGGCCCCGCCCACGGGGCACACAGAGATGGTGACTGAGATTGGGCATGGTGTCCCGCACCTGTAATCCCAGCACTTGGGAGGCTGTAAACAGGAGGATCACTACAAGTCTGATCTACACAGTGAGACCCTGTAGACCCTGTC